ATGTTGTGCAATCACATGTAAGAGGCAACGTAAATAAAATGATTTTCTAATTTATTTTCTGAAAATTTGGATCACATGGTTGTTATAAAATATATTAAAAAGCGACATATACAAAAAATAGTTTTGAAACAAGATTCTGAGAATATTAAATGCACACCTACAAACACGCTCTTCCTTTTTACTAATATGTTCTCAGCAGCATCTAATTAAAGGATTGTTATAATAAATAGCTTCTTGCAATCTCCGATATTAGCACGTTGAAGATTATGTTGTACTGAGAGCAAATAAAAAAGCGGACACAAATTTCTTGCCTGAACTGAATTTTGCGGACACAAAAGGCCTGCTTGAACTGAATTTTCCTAGGACCTAACGTTTACAATTTCATTCTATAAATATGAAGATTTTATTTTTAGAAAACATGTCAATGTGGGCAAAGCAAAAGCAAAGTTGTTTGGTCTATTACTCTAACACTGGAGAAAATCAAAATTTATTTTCATGCATTTTACCCAATTGGATGCTAAACAGTACATATAATTGAATGCTGAAGAAATATACGTCAAATAGCGCGAAGTACAATAACTGTCTAATTCCGTGTCATATACATTACATTTTCAAAGAGAATGCATGACTATTTTCAGAAAGTGTAATATAATTATAAGTTTCAAATATGCAAAAGTTGCAAACGTTGTAGGCTCCATTTTTATAACTAACGTCTCAAATTAAGGAAGTGGAAATGACCATGCAGAGCGAGCAATCTTCTATGAGTTGCACATCCGACACAAGGCCTACAAGTGGACTTTCAACCTTAAATCAAACCCATTATTCAGGTATTGTAGGGCTTTTTAAACCTACGCAAAGAGATACAAATTTCCCTTGTCATAACAAGGATTTAAATTTGGAAAAATCTGTGGAATACTTTCTTTAAATTTTTAACTGTGTACAAATATGATGGAGCGAAACTAAAACAAGATTTTGTCTACCAAAATAAATTGTATTCACTTTAGTAGTCATTATTATTTTGATTCAATTTCTTTTTCTTTCCAAATTGAAACTTTGTATGGAAATGTATCCGAATCATGCGATTGTCTATAACATAAACGCTAAACACAATATAATATAAGCTAAAATTTATTAAATTTTCATATTAATTTTATTTCCAAGATATAATTACAAGTTTTGGATATGTAATGCTACAGAGTACTCATTGCTCTCTGGATACGAACATAGGCTTGGTTAAAACTGGTTTATTATTAAGGCAGTATGACAGTATGATCACACAAACGCGCACGCGTGCGTTCAAATAAAATTTATGTTATATGCATTGAGATTCCACTTAGAAATAAGTCATATATATATATATATATATATATATATATATATATATATATATATATATATATATATATATATATATATATATATATATATATATATATATATATATATATATATCCAGTTAGAAAAAATTCACATATATATGGAAATCCTTGTTATGACAAGGGAAATTTGTATATCTTTGCGTAGGTTTAAGACAGATCAAACATTTGAGCAAATATGTTAATGAGTAAATTTATATATCACTTGAATAATTGCTTAGATTCATAGGATTAGTATATTAGTTGCGTAGAGTGTAACATGTTGTTTCACAAAATGAAGAGTAGCTGTTTCCGGATAAAAACACAGCAAGTTAAGTACTTCCGAGAATTACCGTAAGAAGCTTCCTGTGTCAAATGAATCAAATCTTGTTACGTACGTTCGGACATCAGCCAATCAGAGAGGACATACACCAATGAAAAGAAAAGAGAATAATATAATAAGAACAAACGAAAATGTCATAGTAGCTTAGGTTATAATTTCTGGTAAACAAATAATCGTTCGTAGCATTTGCAATTAATTTGAAAAACTATTTAATATTTTCAATATTAATAACGTTTACATATATATTATAAATGGTGTGATTCATTATTACAGCATCGATGCAGATCTTTTATATTGCACTTTCTTAATGAAAACATTATTATTCGAGACACTTAAAAGCTGAAAGTTTTGTTTATTACAATGTGTATATGGTTGAGGGTACTTTGTAGTTAATTTTTACACAAAGGAAATGTCATTTATGAACGAAAAAGAATCTGCACATCAAAAATTACCAGTTTTTCATATTATTATTTTATCACAATTTTAAAACTCCACGTATTTTGCTTCTCAGGTGGAATATATATATATATATATATATATATATATATATATATATATATATATATATATATATATATATATATATATATATATATATATATATATATATATATATATATATATATATATATATATATATATATGCGCGTCGGGACGTTACTGCGCAGCGATAGGACATATTCCTGTAAACATTGGAATACGTGTTCTTCTTGGTCGAATATCTAATTTGTATCAAGAAGGAACGATCGTCCTTTTATGAAGGAAGTGATATTCATAAAGTGTACAAATATATCTCACATTTCTACCTTAATTGTTTATGAAAATGTGATTTATAAATGTCAACATGAAGACCCACTCTATGGCCTTTTTGGAGCTTGTAACCCCGACAAGCCTATTTAATATTTGTCTTTGATAATCATAAAATGAATACTTTATATAAAAGATGGAAATGTATGCCATACAACTATAATGCATTTTAATCCAAGTTCCCAATTTTGCAAGAAGTTGTCTCACACGAAGTTTATCGTCTGCTATACGTCGACTTGCCACTATAACGGGATTCTCGAGGATTCCCCGGCATATAGTCTGTTTCTAGATGATTTAGTATTCCCCACACCCTAAACAAGAAGCTGTAAGCATATTGCATCTTATTCATTGTTTCTTATATTGAACATAATAGCTTATATTTTATAAAATGCTGAACTTTTTTTAAACACGATCAGATTAGTTTGCTTGGCATATCTTGCTATATATTGGCATTAGTGGGTTGAATTTTGTAAAACCAGCTATAAACTCAACAGAAATCTTGACATAAACAAAGATTACTCAACATTAGATCTTTTCAAAGCTATGCGCAGAATCGGCAGACATAACAGGAGCCACGAAAACACAAGGGCAGTGTCCAGTGTGTCCAAATGTAATATTTTGTATTGAATATTCTACTGACAATTGCCTCTTTCTAAATTGTAAGCATTGCAGTATTTTACTTTCGTCAATCGGGTTGAATCTTGTATGCATTTTGCTTCTCTCTCTCTCTCTCTCTCTCTCTCTCTCTCTCTCTCTCTCTCTCTCTCTCTCTCTCTCTCTCTCTCTCTCTCTCTCTCTCTCTCTCTCTCTCTCTAGATGGATGGATGGATGGATGGATGGATGGATGGATGGATGGATGGATGGATGGATGGATGGATGGATGGATGGATAGATAGATAGATAGATAGATAGATAGATAGATAGATAGATAGATAGATAGATAGATAGATAGATAGATAGATGCGCAAACACATACATACATACACATACACATACACACATTTACAAACACACACACACACACACACACACACACACACAATAAAACAAATGAGCCTGCGTTTGAAAAATCGGATCTGGGGGGCATGGAGCAGGAAATATGCACAAAGCTAATCCAACATCCTGGTCATGAATAGGATATCCATTCCGGATCAGGCTTCCTGTTGCTATGGAAACGTGCACATGTGTGTTCTGTGACTTGTAAAGCATCCTTATGTCTCTATGTATCTCTTTGTCTCTCTCTCTCTCTCTCTGTATATATATATATATATATATATATATATATATATATATATATATATATATATATATATATATATATATATATATATATATATATATATAATTAATACATTAATTTAATTAAACAAAATGTTTAAAGACTTAATATGGCTAAAAAAAACTGTAATTTAAATTCTGGAATTTTCTTTACTGCTGTATCCTTGCTTTCGTTTTAATTACTATTCCCAAATCTTTTTTTGTTGATTGCACTTGAAATATAGATTTAAAATAGAATGGTATAAGAGTATCTTTGTTTTTAAAGCTAAATATATTTATTTATTTTTTTTTTGCAAGAAACTATTCTTAAATATCATCTTGTCTGCACATTAAATTGCGATCATGCGCACATACTTGTGTTGACGCGAGTAAACCTAAGTCAGATTGAAGAGATGGAGCTTGGTCACGCTTTGCACCCAGTAACCCTGGTATAGCTATCCAAACTGTGAAGATCATATACCCAGATGTGACATTACTTAACATGCCTACTGGTCTCGATATGTGTTGTTATTTTTTTGTTGTAGGGCTTGACGCCATTTCTCAGCACACGATAGGCTATACATGGCTGCCAGTATTAATGGTGGAGGAAGAAATCAGGTAATCCACGGAAAGAACCACCGACCCACGAGAAGCTACTGGCAAGCTTTCTCCCTATCTGTGTTGCTCATTAAAAATTAAAAGTGTTGACTCTGATCCGAGAGCGCATGATTTAACGGCAGATCTGAGTTAGTAATATTAACAAAGCATTTGTAAATTGTTGTATTTATCCATACAGCATGATACCATTACTCACTGTCTTAAATTCCTATTTTTAGCTCATCAATTTCAGTTTTATTTTCAATAAAGTTCCGAAAATTGGGGAATTATATTTCATAGTTTTTATTGAACAAATGAGGAGATTTATAGTTCGTATTTTTTATGGCATAAATTTCTGTGAAAGAAAAGCTAGTTATGTTTTAGGATTATACTTTTGATTGATGTGATGTTGTTATGCATTTTAACTTAGCTTTAACAATATTCAGTCATATCGCTACGATGTCTGCAGTTTGGCAGTTTATAGTGATGTCTAGCACTGAGGCACCATGCCGCAGATATGTTGCATGATGTCCCACCAGTCACATTATTCTGACACCAGACCAACCAGTCCTAACACTAACCTCATAATGCTGAGCGTCAAGCGAGGCAGCTGTTAGTACCACTTTTGTAAATCTTTGGTATGACCCTACCGGGGATCGAACCCACGACCTCCCGCACACGAGACGTACGCTCTAACCACTAGGCTTCTGGAGAAGTTCGCTTTAGATTGAAGTTAGTGAGTGGATCAGTACAAAGTAAATCATATCTTCAGGTGAAATATTATATAATTCTGATTGGTTGATCCCAGGAATGACGTACATGACAGTCATGGATGAAAAATTGTTAGACGTGGATTTTTTCTGATAAATGCTGAGAAAACGTATTCTTTCTATTCAGATTTTAAAAAAAAATTAAAAATAATTTAAAAATAAACATTGATTTCAATCAGCTTTTAAACTTTATAAAGACTTAAAGTCTAGCTATAAAGAATTACACCAGCAACAACTCTGCGAATAATCAAATAAATAGTGCAGCTCTCTTTTCGATGGATATAGGAGAAAAAGAAAAAGACCAATGAAAATTTGCCAACAGAGATATAGTGACAATACATACGAAGTCTTTGACTCTGTTCAGGAATAAATGATTTGTTTCGCAATTTTAATATTACTTATTAATATTTACTTGTAGAATAAAATTCCCACCATTGTTATTATAATGTAAACCTTAAAATATCAATGACTAGCTTTTAAGTCAAGACCAGATCATTTTAGAGACCATTTTGAGGAGACGAATGTACTGGCCTTTGGTTTGGACTAATGAACGGATCGTAAACAACGAACTCCAAAGCCAAGGTTGAACGCAACTGCACCAGACTGCAATTGACTGCAAAATTGTCAAGCCTATCGGTATCAGAAGTTATGTACGTCAGTGATTTAATGAAGCTGTTTTTGAATTTTAATACTCTCTCTCTCTCTCTCTCTCTCTCTCTCTCTCTCTCTCTCTCTCTCTCTCTCTCTCTCTCTCTCTCTCTCTCTCTCTCTCTCTCTCTCTCTCTCTCTCTCTCTCTCGTAATTTGTCACTGCGGCGTCATGGAAATAAACATGGAAATCCGATCAAAAGAGTCAAAAATATAAGGATGTAAACCGTATTTTCCGAATATTTCGTTATGCTTTCGACTCGAATAGAGGCTTAAAAATGGGATAAGAACAGTTGTGCTATTATATGTATGTATGTATGTATGTATGTATGTATGTATGTATGTATGTATGTATGTATGTATGTATGTATGTATGTATGTATGTATGTATGTATGTATGTATGTATGTATGTATGTATGTATGTATGTATGTATGTATGTATGTATGTATGTATGTATGTATGTATGTACATAATATATATATATATATATATATATATATATATATATATATATATATATATATATAATATATATATATATATATATATATATATATATATATATATATATATATATATATATATATATATATATATATATATATATATATGTATGATATCAAGAATCAGCAATATCAGAATGTTTACATGGGAACTGAGTAAAATTTGATGCTGCTCTGACCTAGTTTTCGTCTAAGATCACGTATCCAATTATTTGATTCTAACAACACTCTAAAGAGCAAACTAGTACATATGATTTTCTCTAGACTTATAGGGTTTAGTTTGGGATATTTTTAGACTAGTCTACTATAATGATAACGTGCAATATTATTGATGTACGTATAGTCCATCTTCCTGTCCTCTATCTTGTCTTTCTCTTAATTTCGTCAAATACTACTGTAAATGAACGTCATAGTCAATACACCTGTAACTGTATGCAACAAATAATATATCGTGAACATTGCTTATTATATGAATATTAGAATGTGAATAATGTTCGTTGGAGAGTGTATTTATCGGCATCGTGTCTTGTACTCTTTCAGTCAAAATATGTAATAAATAAAAAAGTTTTTTTTAAAAAAAATACGTTTATTGATCGTATGTGTCAAAAAGAACTGTTTTGCATGCATAGGTAATAACAACGATATTGCTTGCATCTGTAAAAACAGCTCTATTGCTTGCAGGTGTAAAAACAAATGCATTCCTTAAAACTGTTAAAGCAACAGTATTGTTTGCAAGTGTTAAAATAACTTCATTGCTTGCATGCATATAGGCAATTGTTTTGCTTGCATGTGTTTAAACAACGGTATTGCTTGCATTCAAAGAAACGGCTACCTTACCTGCATTTGTATAAAAAAAACCCCAAAACATCTGCATTGCTTGCATGTGCAAGAAGTATTGTTTATATTCAGCCACTTGTCCTTTATTTATAAAGATCGACAGAAAAGCGATGGTATGGCAAACTTTACAAATTGCTACTTTCATAGATTGTTTTATTGATTGGGGTTTTTGTAGGTGGCGGGGAAGGGTAACTAGTTAAATCAGAAGAAATTCGTCTTCGTCCTGAAAAACATTACAAATGATGCCGAATAAAATGTTCATTGTTTCGTAAATAAACATAAAGGATCCGAAAATTGTTCTTTGATTTATATAAAACAATATTATCAACAGTCTACATCGTGTATAGACCATTACAAATCATCAACTGAGATTTTATATTTACTTTTAAGAGGCAACATTAATTAGGAATAGTTTGGTAACGCTTGCTTATCATATGATTATATTGCTAGCCTAATCCATTCTTTAGATATATATACATGTTAAACTTTGCCCTCAAACCGGAAGCTCCGGAAAGGGTGTAAGTCTCAACTCCGACAAAGGGCCAGAAGCCGATTTGTCATCCTGAGCCCAGCTATCTAATTATTTTAAGCCTTTATTTTGTTATACAACTGTTTATTACATGAGTTGCATTTATCTTCATTCAAAATAAATTATATAAATGCATTAAATTAAACTGAAATACATTATTGCAGATACCATCTCCCCCATCATCATCATCATCATCATCATCATCATCATCATCATCATCATCATCATCATCATCATCATCATCATCATCATCATCATCATCATCATCATCATCATCATCACTTACTCATATGTAACTGGAGGCGATCATAATCACAAAAAGAGATAGCTACCATTTTGCTTTATCAAACGATACAAAAACGTAACTGTACCTCATATTCTATCTATCTAATCATTATTGATTTAGAGCCACAAAATTAGTATTAATAACAGCTTTGCTGCACGGCCGTGTAACAAGTTCAAGGTTTAGGTGAGTACGTTTGAAAGATTATTTTTGGGAATCATCATAATAGTTTACTAACCGATTACAGTATTCATTTTGTGAATAATCCCCCAAACAAAATGTTGGCTACTGCACTCGCATTTAGGGAGTAATCCACGAAATATAATATTATTGACTAGTGCACTCGTTTAAAGCGAGTAATCAAGCAAACAGTAGGTTAGACAAGTGCAATAGTTGTAAGAGGGAGATTTACCAAACATTAAGCTATAAGGGAGTAATACACCAAATATAACTTAACAAATGTGTGCACTCGTTGTAAAGTATTAATTTACCAAATATTAAATTATTACGGTGTAATCCACCAAAAAAAGCTTTTATGGGAGTATTCGACCAAACTTAAGTATTTACTTTCTTCAGAGATAATTGCATTTTTGTTGCTATGATTATTATTATTATTATTATTATTATTATTATTATTATTATTATTATTATTATTATTATTATTATTATTATTATTATTATTATTATTATTATTATTATTATTATTATTAATTATAACTGTTGTATACTGACTGCATATCCTCATTGAAATTAATGTCCGTGCCTTCTATGATATAGTGGACTGTGAATTGAGATTTTTTTTCACATCGTAAAGGATTGGCCATCGGACAGGAATGTTGGCTTTCCATTGCGTAAAGAAACCAACCCACAATGTACTTTGGAACAATATACATTAGGAAGGAGAACAATATACATTAGGAAGGAGTGTAAAGTAAGGATCGTTACAGAACTTCGTTAAGTTATCGACACGTGTAGAGTTTGAAATTTACCAGCTTCATAAAACATGCTTTATTTTGACCACAGAAAAAATGCAGATTTCATTATGCTCTTAGTAGTCAATGTTTTAAGCATACATTTTGATTTTTCGGCTTTTTAAATAGTTTGCATATCTGTTTGCTTATTTTCCCCTCAAAATATAATGAATTGTTCACCAATTTAACAATTTAAAACATGACTATCAATTCATTTCACTACATATATTCACAGACTAATTTAGGACTTAGTATAGAATGCTCATATAAAAACCACGTGATCTACAATCTCTTTGGCAAAAAAAAGCATCCTTCTAAATGATTCTTCACTGCTCAAAAACTGTTCATCATGAGTCAGCTACACATTAGCTGAACTCTAATAAAACCGTCCCAAAATCAATGGCTCTAGTAGGATTTTAGAGATCACAAATAATTCAAATAAACAAGAATCTAAGGGTGACTTTTTGTACTTGAACTACGACAAAATTGTCACATGTCACGTGTCTTTATGGCTATCGGTGAAAATAGTGTACAGGGAAACTTTCCTAAACCAGCTCCTTCTCCAATACAGTATCCAAGGACAGCCAGCTGGACATATGCTGTAATCCAAGCAGACTTATCAAACATCATTAAATAGGCCACCTGAATAAAGTAACAAGATCTTTGTCACAAAGTGCGTTTTTTAAGGACGTTTTACTGTATAAAGGTGCCTTACGGGGAGAGGAGAATATATTTAAAATGCATTCATTTTTGAATGGGAAAAGAACGTACAGTAGAAATATACCACGTGTGAATCCAAAAGGACTTCATGTAGAATTATACTATGTATTAATCCAAAAGCGCTTTAGGTAGAAATATACCATGCATGAATCCAAAAGGACTTGAAGCAGAAATATGCCAATTTTAAATCCAAAGTACAAAAATAGAAATATACCAATATTGAATCCAAAATGTCTTAAAGTAGGAATATACTTATAATTGATGACCAGAATGGCAGGATTTATGAAATAAAATAAATGGAAATAATACTTTCTCATTTTGAAGACTATGAAAGAAAATAACAGCAGAATCGAGTTTCGGAATTAATAGTTGTCCTTATTTATCATGATTTTAACTAAATCAAAATATGCCCTTTTCTACCCTGATTTTAACTGAATTAATATTTG